GTAAACCTTTTTCGATTTACAGTATTTTCTTATTTTGAAAGTATCAAACTGAATTTTTGTTCAGTAAAAATCTTTCAAATGCGACTGTAGCTTTTTTCCCCAAAAACTTTATCTTCAAAATAAGGGTGCATTTTATACACCGGTGCATCTTATATTCTGAAAAATACGGTACTACTAGGCCAGTGACATTTGTTATAGGCTGGTAAAAGGGAAGGTAAGTTTACATTCTAACAGTGACAACAGTTATATGAAAAGTCAAATATAGTTTCTTGGTATCAGGCCTAAAAAAAAGAAGAGAATCATGCATAGAATTTAGTAAAAACGTTCTTTGTGAATTTTCCTTCAATTTTTTTTTCTTTTATAATTCAAGACAAGAGAATAATGCCAATCTAAACAAGACTGAACAAGATAATACATATGTGTTTTCATTAATATTTACATTAATTTCTCCTGTATATAGGTCTTATAAAAGTATACTCACATATTTTTTTAATAATTCAAATAAATGATGAAACTATTTCTCATTTAAAGAATCTTACTTGTAAAATGTGTATTATGTAATAGTGTACAAGTTTCAAATCCCAGGAATTTAACACTTATGACTGTTTTTCACCAAAATGAATTACTACTTTCCATTACATTTACATATGATCCAAAACAGAATTTTTGTATGTAATGATGTATATAACCTAAATGAAATGTAGATTACTTGAACCAATATTGCCTGAAATAATAAACAATGATAAAGATTTTTTGCTATCATACTCGAATGAGTTCTTCAGCTATATCCAGCATGCCATGCCGTAGGAAGTGTTCAATCACTACCCGATTTAACGACTGTTGACTTTCTTCTTCTCCAAAGACCTTTTCACTACTTGTACTACCAAAGTCTGGAACGAAATTCTGTAAATAAGATCATTCATTAGCTAAATTTGCTGATATAAAATACTAGGTCTATCAGGCTGTAAGTAGGATGCTACAATTTTACAGATTTAGATTAGTTGGGCAAATGGCATTAACTTATGAGAAGTGTAAGGTTATACATGTTAGTTACGATCAAATAAATTGTACATATACCTCAGTTAGAAATCTTTTAAATTATGTTGATGAGGAAAAGATATAATTTAAAGACAACTGAAATATCACTTGAGTGCACTCTTCTTACTTGCTATTTTAAACTTGGGGAATCCCATTGGAAAATGTGCTAACAAACTACCATAAAAACCTTATCAGTGGAATATAGAAGTACTTTCAGCCAGTATTATTTTTTATAATTTTGACCTGATGGTAATGAAAATGATAGTGCCTCTTAATGAACACTGATTAAACACTAGTTAAAACCAGTTAGGATATTAACAAAATGAAATATGTCCAATCAAGAGAAATATGTGCATGGAGTACTGCTTTGTGCCCTGTGTTAAACTTCTTGAGAAACAGTAAATAAGTTTAGAAAACTAAAACTGATATAACTGTAAATGTGCAAAACATTCTATCACTCTTAGTATTATAATTACAATGCATCCAAGCCAATACATCTACTATTTATTTCCAGTATTGAAAATATTTTTGAAATCAAAATGTCATATAAAATGATAATACGGTCTTAGCTCGTAATGTATTGTGTAATTTAATATACTCCTCATTTTACAATATATGTCTAAGAAGTACGGTGTATGCAACAAAATAAAAACAAGCATTATAAAATACTGTATCAGTTAAATCTCTAGATTATTTTGGAACATATAACAAAAAATTAAAAATTCTTTGTAATTTGTTTAATATCAATGGTGCACTCACAAGGCTTGCAACAATTTATGGCACTTGAGGAGTTTCATCACTTTACTATACACAACCAAGTATTGCTTAACTATTCTTGGTGACATTTCCTTCAAATTTACAATAAGTTATACAAGTTAGCCTTCCAACCATCAATATTTGGTAGTCTAAAGTGAAAAAATTTGGTAAGAGCAGATAATAATGACAATTTTTCAATTTACAAATTCTACATTAGAAACAATGCAATTTCTGTGAAAACTCAAAAAAATAAAAGAAATGGATAATATTAATACTTAAAAATGAAGATGACAAAATTTTATTTTAATAGCTGTAAATACATCTACCTTATCAATGGCTTTTCCTACTTTTGAAACAGATCCATGCAGATCCCTGTGTTCTGTAGTTATGGCTGTAATGACATCTTTTACTCTTTCAGCACACTGGGTCAACAATAAAGCTTGTGATGGTGTGACTTCTTGATCATATGGTGCTAAAGTTATTTTCAAAACAGGTGAATATATATATATATATATATTTGAAAAACACACATGGAAAGTTTCTTTGTTAACCAACAAAAAACAAATTACTCTTTGAAGTTGTAGCATCTATCTGCATAATTACACACTGCTTCAATTTGTACCATTGATCTGATGACCAAAACAGAGTTACTGCTACTGCTATCAAAGTACCTTAATTTACAATCTATAAGCTGTGTTCAAAACCAAATAAAAGGGTATTTATTGTAAAACTTATAAAAAATTAAAATTTTACACTACTTATTAGCTACTATACTTTAGTTAGTTGTTTTGGATAAATTTCCTAATAAATTATGCTAGGTAGATCCAAGTTGAATTTGATTTGTAGGAAAATTAAAACTTGGGTAAGCTGTTGTGCTGACCTCTGGGGTAATTTTTGCAAGCAGTAAGATTTCAGGACACAGAGTTAAAATGTGTAAAACTCAAACACAACTCTAATTCAGGCAGTGTTATTTTTTCTTTGAGTGGTTGGCCTATGGAATAGTTTATGTTAAGATGTTTAGAAGCTGCAACATTTAAGGAGTTTAATAGAAGACTGGATTGGTATTTTATAATAAAAAAAAGATTTCTTTATGTAGTTCTGAATAAGATGGTATAGAAAACAAGGTAGTCTTGATGAGCCAAATAGACTCTTATCTCTTGAAATAAACTATATTGTGCATAAACCAACAAATAAACAAAGTTTTCTTTATCACACCAGAGGCAGGAATAGTTTTATTTTTTATGATTAGATTCCACACACACATTGTTAAAAACTTTAGGGATTTCATTTCCTCTTCTCCATATTCATTCTTTACTGTATGTGATACCTTTGCTATTTGTTAAAATGTTTCTGTAGCACTCAAATTTTCTGTCACATGCCATCTTTATGTGTTTTTTTATTCTATTGATCATATCAGTGCACTGGTTATCCACCAAACCTAATTTTGCTTACATATCATACCTTATTTGAACTTTATTTTCTTTTTCTCACTTCATTATGGATCAACGTGGCAGTTGATCACATCAGTACACTGGTTATCCACCAAACCTAATTTTGCTTACATATCATACCTTATTTGAAGTTTATTTTCTTTTTCTCACTTCATTATGGATCAACGTGGCAGTTGTGGCTATTTTGACAAGTGATTGGTAATATTTTGTACTATATGCAATGAAGAAATGCAGTATGACATGTCACCAAAAAGCATCCAGGCATTCGATCAAACATAACTCTGAGAATCACTTGTCAACCAACACTTATCAGATAGAAATTATATGGCTACTATTTCATGTATTCTATAATCAAAGCTACCAATATCCTACGTATTTCAGGTCTTAAACAATTGGAGCACGATTGGCAGAAACACATTATATGTCATACAAGTTATCAGAAAATGAGATTCCAACCAGTGGATCTAAAATTCCACACACTGTGTGGGCATGTCAACAATTATTTCTACCCTGTAACAAACTAAGTCAACTGTTATTTTCTGCACAAGAATTTAGTCAATAACTCACTATACAACATCACAAACTGAATACACAAAGCTCACTATACTTTTAGTTTTACAAACACAATAAATTTCCAACAGAGAAAATATAATTATTAGAAATTTAATCATAAGCATATCAATAGTCAATTTTAGTTAAGCTTGTAACAGTCAAATATTACCCAAAATTTACCAATTCTCTCTAGAATTAAGATTTACCCTCCATGTTAACTTACTTATTAGATGGATCATTACTTTTAATTTTATTAAAACCATTCAATTCTTCATAGAAAGTCCTGCCTAGACAAAATAAATATTCTGCAACATGAATGAATGTCAACTTAAATCCATGATCAATTTGAGATCTTTATCAGTACCTAACATTTTCCAGCATTTAATAATTAACTGTATAAGAATCACTGAACTCAAAAGAATGTCTGAAATAACAAGGGAAAACCTCAAGGCACTTCCAATCAAAGAACAAATGAAAAATAGTTTCCTTGGTATCAATTCCTTTATAATTGGTTGAAGTGTTTGACTCAATTTTCAGAAAATGTAATATTTGTCACAGATGGAGAAACAGACTTATATCTGTTTTTTGCTGTTGATCTACTAGTAGTAGTACTAGCAGTAACAATCATAGCTGTACTAAAGTTAGCTTGGCTTAGCATACTAACTGATCAAGTGCTGGAGAATGAGGAGTACCATTACCAATAATGTTTTTAATTTAGCTAAAATATTTTTACAGTATATGCAACTATATTAAGATTATCGTGTTCTTCCAATAAATTTCAATGTACTACTAGTACTACGACTAATATCATATTAGTTTTATTACAATTTTCTGTCTGTAACTGGTATGAACTTCAAGTTTTCTTAGCATTGAGTCAAACTCTTGAGTGGAAATACTATTAATAATATATCGTATGGCAGCTACATAGTTCACGTTTTGAACTGGATGAATAAAAAAAATTATAATTATAAAACCAGAACCTGAGCATGAATTTCGAGTTAGACTTATTTATTTACACTTGTCTGAATAGAATTACGAGATCTACATAAGCTAAACATGCCTTGGTTCAATTCAATTTGTAAAGTCTGGACAAATCCAACCAAGTCTGCTAATGTTGTTTTAGATTGTTCATTGAAAGCGAGATACTTTGTTAAGACTCTGTCGACTTCCTTTTCCACAGCAAAGCACGAATCCATCTTTCCTAGATTTTCCACTTTCGTTGCGGATCTTCGGTTCAACGAAAACTAAAGTTCATGGATAATATTATGAACGATAAAACACAAGAGCCAGCTAAACAAACCATCTCACACCTGAAGGAATTTACAATAAAAAAACAACAAAAAAAAACCATTCTAACTGTTACACAATTGGGGATGTTTTTTTGTTTTTTTTTACAAAATGGAAATATGTATTTATCACCTTTTAATAAATAAGTTTATGGGTAAGAAAATTTATTTTTTCCGTTGGTCGTTAGATAGTTCTTTTTTTTTAAACTTGACCTAATACATTTCACGAATCCAGGAAAACTAAAAAAATGACGAAGTAAGACATTTAGACATCACTTGTTTATTGTAAAAATAAAACAATAACTTTCTCCATTATATATCTAGGCCAGTTTAATATACTCCATTATATGAACTTTATAGATCTAGGCCTATTTTATCAAAATTTTAAATCTACTTCATTACTTGACCTACATAGATCAAGGTTTATCATATTACCAGTTTAATTTACTCCATTATGTGACTCGCATGGTAACCAGACAACTAGACAATTATTATGTGTCTAAATGTCCTACTTCCTCATTTATTAGGTGTCTAATTGTCCGGCGGCTAGTTCTCCGGTTACCACACTTTCACATTATAATGAGTGTTATTTTCTAGAAGATTAATTGTCAACCTGGACCCGAGGTCAGCAAGCAACCCTTCAAAGAAGAGCTTTTTTTTTTTTTGTCTAAGACTAAAACATTTGGACAGCATGTCCTAAATGGTCTAACATAAAAAAAGGGGGGTGGAGGATTTAAAACGGTAAAATCTGGGGTTCAGTTACTCTCGGTGGATTGTTTTTTATTTTGTCTAAGTCATTTTAGAAGTTAGCTAGAATGTTAAAAGCGCACCTGTTTTCTAAATAGAAAAAATTCAAATTTTGATATTAAATTCTTAACATCAGTTGTGCCTGAAAAATTCATAACTTTTCTTCACAGTAAGAGTAAACCCCGAGAACTGCATAAATCTCCTTAAAGAGCCGCAAATTGCTGACCCCTGACCTATATGACCAGAATAGATTCATATTAACCATTTGTATCCAGACACTTACTAGAACACTATTAAACACACAAGTATAAAAATGTAGTCATGTATTAACTTTGATTTATTTTAATAACAAACACCTCTGTGGAAGATATATTTGTCAATCGAATATACAAGCGTTTTTTTCTTCATTTTTAGACTAACATTATTTCGTCATCAGCCTTTTTTTGTCTCAGTATATTACAGTCACTCAGTTTTTGAGGTTATACTAAAAAATTCAGTGAAAACATATTGTTACATCTCTGGTCGTTTGTTTATTCTTTCTCAATTCGACTTTGCAATACACTTAATTTTCACAGTCACTTTATCTTAAACACACGCTATAATTCACAACGAATGAATCACGCACTTTACTTACTACTGCGCTTGACTCAATTGTCCGTCTATATCTTCAATCTCTCTGTCTGCTCTATAATTCCGATTAATTGTCTGGCGCATTATATACAAGAATAGAGGACGCCTAGCAAATACTGAATTATTCGTGATGTTCCCTGATCTTTTTAAAACTCATTACGTGTTACCAGCGTCACGTGACTTCTGCTGTCGTAACACTGCCCCTTTCTTAGTATTGTTCGTCCCGAACAATAGCCACTTACATTAAACGAATAGAGAATTAACAATAACCTAATTAAATGTACAGAATTTACAAACACAAAATTAAAATTCAACAAAGTATCTTAATTTTACAGGACATATCTTTTTCCATACTGGTCTCCATCTCGTTGGCTTGTTCTTCACGTGGGGTTCATCTGCTCCATCAGGAAATGTTCCATTATTGGTAGCAATCATATCAGTGGTAGTAACTTCATTAACGGCTTCACCGTTTCCCTTCTCTAAACCCGGTAGAGTTTCTTCTTTGACAGTAGCTTTTTCAGGTGACATGTCTTCAGCAGCGTCATTTGTTCTATTGTTCACTTCGTCCCAACTGAAATGTCCTGGACCGTGATAATGCCAAAGCCTGTTGGCATGCACCGCCATTGGCTTACCTCACTGACCACATTTTATCTGGAAAGTCACGTCTGAAAGACGATCTACTATGTTATATGGGCCTTCCCATGGAGATGACAACTTAGGAGACTTCCTTTTGGTCTTCCTGGGATTATACAACCACACCTTGGCTCCTGGTACAAAACTAACTCCAGTATATCTCTTATCAT